GGAGGGGAGGAAAAACAAGTAAAAAAGCGGCTAAGTTCAGCCGGGCCGAACTTTTTATATCCTCCACCATTTAGAAGAAACTTAAAAAATTAAAAAAAAATCCGTCGGAAAACACCGCTCAAATAAAAACCTTTGTACGGGGGCTATACGAAGACGTGGTCCTGTATAAGTAATTTGTGTCATAGGCTGTAGTAACTGTTTCGAACTTTATATACGAAATTTGAAACAATTCCGGTGAATAATGTCGCAAAAATCATAAAAATATCGAATATGGGGAGGAACCGTTATTTAGGGGACATATGATGTGAGGTGAAAAAACTGCAACCAACTTCAACCTGCTGTCATTTCAAAGCCACTCGTCCGACAACAGTTAAGATTTTTTCAGTGACAGCCATGGTGATGGTGTGGACCGCCATAACAGCTGATGGTCGCTCTCTGCTCGTATTAAACGACCGTGGCATCAGAATAAATGCCGAATATTATGGCAAAAATATTGTGGGAGTATATTTAAACTTTGGGCACGCAAACATTTTGGCCGCAGACCTTAGACATCCCAACAGGACTTAGCACCATCGCACTCAGCAAGCGCCACCCAAGAATGGATACAAAGGATGTTCCTCGCTACATTTCCAGCGCACAATGGTCACCAAAATCTTCAGATACCAATCCGTTGGACTATTGTGTCAGGAGTATTTTGGAAAACAAGGTTGGCACTAAAAAATACCAAAGTGTCGATCACCTCAAGCAAGCGCTTCGCCGGTAATGGGCCAAAATACCACTGAGCAATATTCGGGCAGCGTGTGACAGCTTCATTGGCCGTTTGAAGGCTATAATTCGTGCCAAAGGTGACCAATTCGAACAAATCTAAACTTTTACTAAAATTTGATGCTATTTCCGACATTTTTTGCTTTCATTCAGTAAAATTTAAAAAAAAAAATGTAAAAATTATGGAGTTTGACTTTGTTGCAGTTTTTTATCTCACCGTGTATTTCGATTAAGCCTCTATATAACGGAATCTCCCAAGTCCACGTTGACAACCCAGCATTGCCGTTTTGAAAGTTTAAATCAATCCAATCCATTGAAGGTTCTCACACAAAAAAAAAAACAAAGTTTTTCATTAGCCTAAAAAAATTTCGACCCACAGCGGACAACTATTTGTGCACTTATTTGCCACAACTACTCTAATGTGTCTAAGATTGATTGTGCCATAAAACACATTCCCAATAATTTTAGTACTTAGCTAAGCACCAAACCTTTGGTTAAATAGCTTGTGATGGTGTGGGAAAATGCTAAGAGTATCATTCACAATAAAATTATTTTCATTAACCCTTTGGATACTCCGAAGAATAATTTTTATAAAATAATTAATGGTAACATTTCAAGTCCTAAAAAATAAATGTTAATGTAATTGAGTAAAGATTACATTTTATTTTATTGACGATACTCCAATGATATCTTTAAAGTCCAAAACACATTTTAAAAATGAAGCATATTATTGGTTCTTTGGGTATCCTATCTTGCAAAAATATGAAATACTTTTAAAGGTTTTTATTTAAAGAATGACAAATTTTATGAATAATTCAGCTAGAAAAATATCCGCTACAAATCGTGAATTGTTCTGGCAAAGTAGAGATGATATTGAAGACGCGTGTATCGAGTCTTAACCCTCAAAGAATCTTAACCTTCAAGCAAGCCACCGAAATTGCTCCCTTTTTTGATATTTAAAAAAAATACTTAAAAACTTGCTTTAAATTTATTTGTCATAATATTCTACTATAGGCCCCAGAAGACATGAAAAGTATAAATCTTACATAATTACCAGGAATTCATAAATATTAACAATTAAAGAAGCTTAGTTTGGCCGGGCCGAACTTTTAATGCCCTCCCACCATTTTGAACCACCTTAAAATTTTTCAAAAAAAAAAAAAAAACTACATTGAAAAATACCGTAATATAGGGGCTATACGAAGACGTGGATCTGCACAAATCTGTCATAGGCTGTAGTATCCATCACGAACTTCAAATACCAAATTTGAATCAAGTCCGGTGAATAATGTTGCTAATATCATCAAAATACCGAAAACTGAGAGGTACCGTATATGTGGGCTATACGAAGACGTGTCCTATATAGACAATTCTCTTCCTGGGGATAAAGTACTCAGAAGGAATTCCTTGTGTTGATTTTCAGACAATTCCATTGAAAAAATTGGCTATAATCATCAAAATACCAAATAACGGGAGGTACCGTTATAAGGGGGATATACGATATCGTGGACCGATAATAGCCCATCATCGAACTTGACCTGCCTGCACACAAAAGACTGTGCAAAATTCTTACTCCAACATCGTATCAATTACGTTATCCATCAAAGACAAAATTATTCTTCTTTAAAAAAATCACGAAAAAACTCAGAATATATCATATATCTAGGTTAGGTTAGCTAGGTTACCAAATTTAGGTTCAATAGCTTTTAAGAAAAATGCGTTCAAAAACATTTCGAAGAGATTTTTAGTGAAATTTTGTTTCTCCTTTTGAAATCTTCACGCATCAACTGGAAAAAGACCGAGAAAAATTTGATTAAAAAATTAGAAATATTTTCGGTTTCTTTTTTTGGAAAATTTGGTGCAAATATTTTTTGTAATATTTAATGGAAATAAAGATTTATTTTTACTGGCGACTTATACTAGAATATGATGAAGAAAATTTTTGTCTCTGACGTCATACTTTTATAATGATGTTTTTAGGAGTATTTTGCATAAACTCACACAAGGAACTCTAAAATGTCCATTATAGTATGGAGGGTATATTAAGTTTGTCATTCAGTTTGTAGCACCTCGAAATATACATTTTAGACCCCACAAAATATATATATATATATCTTCGATCAGCATAAAATTCTATGTAGTCTGTCTGTATGTGGAAATCACTCTAGATTCCGAACGAATTGAAATAGGTTGATTAAATTGTACTTAAATTTGTATTTCGTCTGTAGACTTTTTGGTATTGAAAGTTATAGCTCCCATATAACAGTGCCTCCCTATATTCGGTATTTTGATGATTTTAGTGACATTATTCACCGGAATTTTTTTTAATTTCTATGCAAGTCCTGGTCTTATAGTATAGCCCCCTGATAACGGTACCTCTCCATTTTCGGTATTTTGCTGATTTCAGCGACATTATTCACCGGAACATGTTTCGTATTTGTATACTTTAATGGCCTATGACAAAAAATGCTTATGCAGGTCCACGTCTTCGAATAGACCTCAATATAATGGTTGGATTTTAGTTTTACAGTTTTTAAAAAGATTTTACTTTTTATTTTATTATTTATTATTATTATTTTTTTTTAAATTTCCATATGTGTTCCAAATGGTTAAGGGTATTCAAATTTTGGACCGAGCGAACTTTACTTGTTAATATATATGAATTTCTGGTATTTGGTAAAATTTTGATTGTTGATGACTTCTAATATCTAAGGAGAATTTTATGCGAGTTTTTAACAATATTTTGAAAACAATAATATTTTGTTTTATGTGTTCATCTTTTGTATTTTTTTTATTGATCGGTTTCAATTTAAATGTGACAAAATAGCTCTAATGCTTCAAGGCATCATTTGACTCGCGATACAGACTTGAGAAATTATTTCTTCATAGAAACACTCCTAAATAACAAATAACACTCCTTTAAATAACAAAAATAGTTTTTTTTCATTTTATTATTATTTTTTTTTTTTTTTTTTGGTTTATTTTTCATATAACAGAGGGTATTTAAATGGTTCAAACCCTTCAGAACGTTACGCCGTTTCAGCTTTATTTTTCCATTGACGATTTTTATTTCTCAAAAAATTAAAACACATTTTTTTGTTTTCTTAATACTTTTTTTTATTTATTTTTATTAATATTTTCTTTAATATGTATAATAATATTTATTTTTCCGTTTTAAATTAAATTAAAATTGTTTATGTTTGGGTTGTTGTTACTTTCTTTTTTTTTTTTTGTATTTATACATTTTTAATGAGTTGGTTTACGTTTTGTTGTATTTTATTTTATTTGTTTTGTATTGCGCTTTTCAAAGGGCTTGAGGAAATTATATAAATTGCTGTTGTTGTTGCTATTTTGTTATCATTATAATAATGTTTTGTTAATGATCGAGTTTTAGAATAAATGAAAAATGTAGATGAATATTCAAGAGGAGTTCCATTTTTTTTTTTTGTTTTTGATGATAAATTCTTCTGCAAATATTTTATTTATTTTCTTTTTTACTTTATTTAGTTTAATATTTTTTGTGGGTGTTGTTGTTTTAATAATACAATACAATTATGATGTTGTTGTTTTGTTTAATAATAATTATAATAAAAATTATAAAGAAAAAAAAATACATTGATAAGAGTTGTAATAATATTTTAAGATAGCAAAACGTTGATAAATATAGCCCATAGTAGCAGTAGAATTAGAAGGGAAAATTATATAAACGATAGGTAAATAAAAAAAAAATACTATAAACTAATGTTAAAAAATTACAACTTATGAACATTTACATAGGTAGAGGGAGGAAGGGGTGGTAATAGATGTTGAATGGATAGATCTGTAACACATAATTATTAACTAAGGTGGTATTTAAAAAAAGGAAGAACTTTTGATTGGATATTTTTTTTTTTTTTGGGGGATGGGGATTGGAAGTATGAAAATAATTATAGCAAATAAATTGTAATCACTTTGTGTATTAAGAAAAAAAAATAATAATAATTATAGAATTTCGTAAAATAAAATATATATGCATTGTTAAATTAAAAAAAAAACACACAAGAAAATTAAATTTTCTTTTAAAAAAATAAAATAACTCAAAAATTAAAATAAAAAAAAAATAATCATAACAAAATAAATGTAATTAAGTTGGTTGTTTTTAATATATTTTAATTGTTTATTATAAATTAAGGGGGTATATTTTGAAAAGGAAGAAGAAGTTTCTAAAGAAAAGGAAAGAATTTATTTTATTTTCGTTTTTCAAATTAAAACCAAAAAATGTATTTAAACATTTGTACTTAATAAACAAAAGTACATTAATTGTTTAACTATTTGGGTGTAGGATGTTGTTTTTGCTTTTCATTTTTGATTTATGAAGGCCTTATTCTTTCCAATTTTCTGTCTAAGTTGTTATTTTAATGCATTGCAAAATATACAAATGGATGGAATCGAAAAGAACTGAGATGGCAGGCATTGCTAACCTGTTTTTCTTTATTCTACTCCACTCTTAGAAAACATAGCCACATGGGTTGGGATATTGCATTAAAAATTAAAAACATTAAAAACGTAATTTGGTGCCTATTATTGAATATAATCCATTTTTGGTCTGTGTAAAATTACCCTGCTGACATACTGCTTGCTTAAAAAATATTCCGATAATTCTCGAAACGTTTTATAGCATATGGAAGTTGTGATCAAGAAAAATCTGAAATTGACACCATAAAAGGTGCCTTAATAAAAGGTCACAGATCATTTTATAATTCCCACTAACCAAAGGAGTACAGTACTATTCTTGATTGTTATAACTCTTTTAGGATACCTTAATGGAAAATGACTATTGTTCCAATTTCGGACAAAAAATTCAACATTTTCATAAATCCTTCCAAAAGTCATACTAACAAACCTTAATGTTCCTGTGATATTTGTAATAAAAACATTTCTTCAATTGTGGGTGATATTGGCAACCTTGAGACATTGAAATCCTAACTTGATACCTTTTATTGGATATAATCCTTATTTAGTTCGTGTTACATAACCCTGATTATAGGTGGAAAGTTCTTGATGACCACTACATTTTGTATTGCATGTGAAAATTGAGATAAGGAAAAAAATTGATGCCATAAAAGTTAATTTGAATGAACAATTGGGATTTATAAAAGGACAAGCTATGTGATCTGTGATTACTTTCCAATTTCTGTCCTTATTGGAAAATTTACGAAGTGGACAGGGTATACTCTAGATTTTGACCCAGTCATTATTTTTACAATTTCGGAAATAGTCCAACATTTTTATAGATGCTTCTATAATATTTACTAACCAAAGGAGTTCCCTGCTGTTTCTGATAGTTGCTATAAAACCCAGATGTTTAATTGGGCACATCACAATTAGTTTCAAGGGTTATTTCTGAAATATATATCTACAGACAAGAAGTCGGAATATAACTCAGTTTTTCTGGAAGATTAAAATATCGAATATTAGTCTTAATTTTGAGAAACAATCGTTTTTTTTTTTAAATTGCTTGAAACAGGACTCACTAACTTTTCATGTGGACTCATTAAGATTTGTTGGGTTCCAGGGTTCGAGACGGATTCCAGACGCTTGATATACCGATTGAATAGACTGTAAAACCACCAATAAGCTATTAAGTTAGCGGCTTCAACACAAAAAATCACATAAAAGAAGCTGGTAGAAGATGGTACTTGGAAACCGGTTGCAAGGCATCAAAGGCCATCTGGCCAGTAATCTCGAGGAGAAGAACAAGTTCCCTTCTATCAATTAGTAGTTCTGATCTCAGAATCGTGGTGGACATACTGACTAGTCACTGCAGTATCAGATATTTGACCTCAAGATATGACAATATTGTTCCTAGCTACTGTAGACTATGTGAAGATAAAGAAAAGGTAGAGATGATCGCACATGTTCCATGTTATCCCACAAAAGGCTAATGGTCTTTTAAGACATAGATCCCATCATCATTTACAAATTTCTCTAAGCCATTTCCTAGCTAGGCAAAACACTCTCCTAAAATAATAACACTTTTCTTTATAGATCGATCTTTTCACTCCTTCTCGCCTCTACGTCTCTCCTATTCCCAATATTTTCATTTCTTCCTTGGATGAACACAATGGACCAAATGTCTCCATGTGAAACAGTTGCCGAATTCATGGAGCTGGACATCCCTAAACCAAACCAATCTTTTGCTTCATTTATAAAATCACTTTCCAAAATAAAATCCCAATATATCCTCCTAAGCAGTTAGTGTCTCCTAACGTTTTCCCCTTCATAGAACACCCAAAGTGGATATAGAAAAGTATTTACAAAATTTGTATAAACCATCATATTGTCTTAACGATAATTGTTTGAAATCTTTAAAACAACAAAAAATAACAACCAAAACGTAATGGAGAAAGAAAAAGGCCTTCCAATCATTTGATACATTTCCATGACACTTTTCTTTTTTTTCTGATAATTTTCATTTTTTTGTAATATCAACTTGCTTGTTTTTCAGTATTTTACTTTGCATACTCAGTTTTGCTTGATTTGAGAGATTGTTTCTTCTCTTTGCTTTACTCTAACTCTTTGCTTTACTTATTAAATGAATGACTTGAGCTTTATGTGTTTTTACTTTTGTTTTACAAAAGGGAATTTCAGTTCCCTTTTTTTTTGTTTTCTGGGGAGTTTAGAGTGTTTGTGTGTATGTTGTGGGGGGGCAATGGTGGACTTTGTTTATATAGAAAATATTTTACAAATATATGCTAAATATATATATAGTATGATTTGTTTTTATATATTAAATCTTCTTCCTTTTTTTTTTTCTTCTTATATTGTTTAAATGTCGATTTTCTTTTCATTCTTATTTTTTTCTTTTCTTTTAATATATATATTGCAACAAAAAACATTTACAAAGCTTTTCTTGGATTTTATGTTTACTCTCTCATTATAATATATAGATATATAAGTGAGGGTTGTTTTGTATTGTATGTATTATGATAAAGTAGGGAGAGGAGGGAGGGTGATATTTTTTCTCCTTTTTGAGGATTTTTAGGTTAGGAGTTGTTCTTAATTTTTAAAAAATAAAAATATATAAATACACAATTAAATTTCATTTCCTAAACGGCTAGTATCCAGGTTGTTTTCTATTTCCACTCGCTCTCTCTCGTGCTCTCTTCAAATACCATACAAAGTCTTTTTTCACATTGTTGTTTTTTCCAAAAACTATTCCCCATCATCTTGCTGTGCCTTTAGCTACCTCAAATGGGTTTTGGGTCTATGTGGTTCCATCAAATAAAAATTGGTTTTGTCATTAGATTATCACTGGTGTTGTTGTTGTTGTATTGTTCTTGATTGGTTGTTGTGTAGAAAAAGAATTGATTTTCTAGAAAAATCAAAAATTGTTTTAGAAAAAATATTTTGCAATTCTTTTTTTTTTTTTTTTGTTTGGTTTGTTGTTCCAGTTACTAAACTATTCTAAAAAAAGAATTGTATAGCGTTATGGAGGAGTTTTTCTCTTCAACTAATTTACATAATTTTAAAAATAAAATTAGCAAAATATTTTCTTATTGTTGTTGTTGCTGTTCTTTTGTGTATACCATGAATGTCGTCTCATTGCAGCCTATAAATATGTGTTTGTTTTGTTTTTCTGGTGGCTTTTTTATTCTAGGTTTCCAATTTTTGGATTTCTTTTCATTTTCTTTTTCGTACAGCATTCCATTTCCATCTTTTGTTTAACTTTTTGTTTTTAATACTTATTACTTGTTGTCTTTTGTGTCTATAAGCATTTTGTTTTTTTCATAGAGTTGAGTTTGTTTTATAGACTATCATTTTGTTTTGTTACTTTTTGTTTTGTTTTGTTTTAAATATTTGTCTAATCTATAAACTCGTGCTAGGCTGAGGCTTGATATCGTAGTAAACTGGAAAATAAATATTACAACACAGGAGGGGGATGTGTTTTCATATAGGCTTTTCCATGTTACTTCTTCATACATCATCTTTTAGATTTATCGCACTCGGGGAATAGTTCTGTAAGAGAGAGAGAGAGAGAGAAAAAAGAAGGGGTAATGTTAATTGCAGCAAATTATGATCAATTAAAATATGGGTTTCAAGAGGTATTCAAATGCGACAATAGAGAATGAATTTAAAATTTAGGAAATGGAAACGTTATAATTCAGTATTTAGATTTCCAATTTGAAAGTAGTTCAACATTTTAATAGATCCTTCTACAATTCTTGCTAAATAAGGGATTCCCTTACAGCCATGATAAATGGAACAAAAGCAGATTTTTGGTTGGGTACATTACAAATTCGTTCCATTAAAAATTTATAAAAAGTATCTGCAGGTAAAAAGTTGAGATATTACATCCGTATTCAGTAATTTAACAAGAAAAAATATAAGTTCGGGGCGAATAATAACATCCAATAAAAATTATGTCATAATCATAACAATACCGAATGTAGCCGTTATGTTAGGATCTATGCGAAGACGTGGACCTGCATAGGCAACTTTTGTCATAAGCCATCATCAAAATGCCGAATATAGGGAGGTACCATTATATGGGGGCTATACCAAAACGTGGACCTGCACATAAAAAATTCTGTCATAGGCTGTAAAACCCATTACGAACTTAAAATACCAAATTTGAAAAAGTTCTGGTGAATAATGTCGCCAATATCATGAAAATACCGAATATCGGGAGGTGCCGTTATATGGGGGCTATACAAAGACGTGGACCTGCACAAAAATCTTAATTTACAGCTGATTTGGTTCAAAATTGGGATGGAAATCTGGTTCCCATGTATGGGGGCTATACAAAACATGGACCTGCTTCGAATATATTTGGCTAGAAATTATCGTATCCACCGAGAACCGTTAATGACAAATTATAACATTTTGGCACAAATCCTCAAATACCGAAAATCGGAAGACTATACCACAATAAGTGGTTTGGTTTCACAATGCGCAGTTGCACAGAAAGCAGTTGCCGGCTCCACTTGGAGACTTTTGGACCACTGTGTTCATCCCAGGAAGAAATACAAAATGTTGGGGATATCAGGAGATATAGAAGCGAGAAGGAGAAAAAAGAGTTATATAGCGAAGTGTATGTATGGCAGGATGTTCTACCTAGCCAGGGAGCCTTTTTGGCAAACTAGTAAATGATTATGGGATCTATCTCGCACCTACCAAATAGTATATGTCTCTGGTGTTGGATAATATAGGAAAACTAGTGAGATATCTGATACTGCAGTGACCTATCAGTATGTCTCCCACGATTATTATGTTACCTACTAGGTGATAAAAGAGATCCTGTTATTCTCCTCGATATTAATGGCCAGATGGCCTTAGATAACAATACGATGATTATTTTTATCGAAAATTCTGACTCAAACAATTTCCAATAAGAAGTCTATTTAAGAAATAGGTAAAAAACTCCCTGTAATCGCGATCGCAGGAAGTCAATATATTTAACAAACTTTTTTTCAAAAAACTCTACCACAAGTCTCAGAATATATTTCAAGTCTAAATCCTCACCAAAAGCCAAAAAAAACTCGAAAATATTAAAAACACATTTTCTGGTAAAAACCGTACCTCATGTGAGAAAATACAAAATTCTCCTACAAAACATAATTTTAGATGGATTATGTGAAATATAAGTCACCAAATTTATTTTATGAGTTAATTATGGTATTTTGATTCTTGTTTTGTAAACTTTCAAAACGCCGAAAATGTGTCTTCAACTTTTAGCTCTACTTTCATAATCTTCAGGAGTTTTTCTGTAAATATTGGAAATTGTTAATTTTGTCGCACAGGAAAGAAAAGTTATAATCTTTTGTCACATTAATACCCATAAAAAATTTTGCAAAAAATTTTCCCATACTACTTACCTTGGTGATTGCACTCTTTTCTTGGGAGTATTTGGAGCCGTCACAGCTACCCTTGAGTTGGGGGTACGGGCCCTGGACGCTGAACCGCCGCCACCGGGCGTTGTTGGTGTTAATGGTGATGACAGCGTTGCTGCAGCAGCACTTGTTGACGATGGTGGTGTCGCTGTCATGCTATAACGTTTCGGTGGCTGTAGACGTGATGGTGAACGTGTTGTCTTGGTGGCATCCGCTTGATTTGTTATTCTAGCAATTTGTGGAGAAATACGTGGAGGTTTAGGTATTTTAGTATTTACAGTGACATTTTTATGAATTGTTGTTGTTGTAGGAGGAGTAGTTGTTGTTGTATTATTATCAGTCATTGTTGTATGATGATTATACATATCAGTTCTTCTACAGTTGTGAATACATTTATATGTATGTATATATGTGTTGACAGAGAGATGTATATTTTACAGGAAAGAAAAAAACAACAACATGCAAATGTTTGTTTTTGTTTTCAAGGGTAGAGTTGAGTAGATATATACGTGGGGAATATGTAATAAACCAACATTTTAAAATATTTTATGATAGTTTTTTTATATATACATAAAAACCAAAACAAAAATTTTAAACCCATAACAGGAATACACAGGCAGGCATATTGTGGTGTTGCGTGGGAGGAGAGGATCAAATGGTGCGTTGGGTAGATAGATTGTTTTTTGTTTTTGACAAATACATGAAAAAATAATAAGAAATAAAAATAAATAAAATTAGCAAAAATATTCACCAAGAAAAAATTTTAGTTAATAATAATAAAATATTGTTTTTTTTTTTTATGAGTTACACAAAAAATTAAAGTGAAAAATATTGGAATTTATTATTAATAATAAAATTTATGAATAATTATATTTATTATTAAGCTTTTCTCCTACAGTGACAAGTATAAAATCCAATGTATCAAAAACCAATGCATACTTTTAGGCGTAAATTCTTAAGGCGTAAATGACAAGGATTGAATAATAAATACTATTATTTTCAGTACTATTTTTTTCAAATTTTTTATTTTATTGGATTCACTGAAAAATTCTGAGAAGAAAGCCTCTTGATCGAAAATATTTTAAATATTTATAAAATTTGTTTAAAGCTTTTTGTGACCATAGATTCTCAATTAAACTCTTTTAGAAAAAAGACTTTGGACATGTCCTCCATAAATAAAGTAATGTATGTAGGTCATCAAGGGGCAGCTTCTGTAAAACGATTGTAAATATTTGATAATTTCTAGATTTTTTGGAGGAGAAAAAACTTCTACAGGTCACCGGTAAATAAAACCCCCTTTAAAGTACTCGGGCCACAGACGTTTCCAACATGGATAACTGGTGTCTTATCCATGTTGTAGTATCCTAATTTTGAAACGCTGTATTGTTTTTCAGGCGACGATTTTTGCAATCAAGAAGGTATCTGAAATGGTAAACGAAATATCACTCTTACGATAGCAGGACCAGTGACTATATATGTCGGTAATCAGACGGCTCTTGTAACAATTTATCGAATGCTATTCTTGATTTCATAAAAGTCCTTCTGAAAATACGTGATCTTTTTAAGATTTGTTGGATTCCAGGACCATAGTAACATATTGAGGAATGAAATGACAGATGAATTAGATCGAAGTAGTTCCTAGTAAATGATCGAGATAGTTCCTAATAGATGGTCGAGATAGTTCCTAATAGATGGTCGAGATAGTTCCTAATAGATGGTCGAGGTAGTTCCAAGTAGAGAGCCACCGATAAGCCATTTTGTCAGCAACTTAAAAAACGCTCTCATGCAAGCAGCTAGTAGAAAATGGCACATCTAAACCGATTGCAAAATATCTGAGACCATTTGAACCAAAATCCCGAGAAGAAGAACGGGCAACCTTCTATTGCTTAGCAGTTTTGATCTAAGAATCGACGAAGGAATATTGACTGGACACCAGTGCAGTATCACATTGATCAGCTAATTGAGTGATCATCATCAAGCAACCGATAAACTATCATGCCAACTGCTTGAAAAAGTGTTTGATCAAGGAAGCTGGCAGAGGACAGCACTTAGAAACCGGTTGCAGGCTGTCGAAGGCATTATGATCTAAAAATCGGGGCAGACATATTGGCCAACCTGTCCAGTATCAGATTGATCTGCTGATTGATGTACTTAGAAAACGGTTGCAGGGTATCTACGGTCATTTGGCCGAAATTCCGAGAAGAAGAATATGATCCCTTCCATTGCTTAAAAGGTCTGATCTAAGAGTCGTGGTAGGCATGTTGACTGGTCAGTGCAGTATCAGATTGATCTACTGATTGATGAGACCTTCAAGCCACCAATAAACTGATTGATGAGACTGTAAAACTACCAACAAGTCAGCTGCTACAAATTCTCCCATCGAAGACGTTGGTAGAGTATGGTCACTAGATACCGGGCGTGCAGGCTCATGCAAGGTCATCTGTCCCGAAATTTCAAGAAGATGAATAGCCTCCCTTCTATCTGCCAATATCTGACTTCAAAATTGGATTGCAGTGGACATGGACACTGCAGACTATGTGAAGATAAAGAAGATGTAGAGACGATTAAACACCTACTATGCAGATGTGGTGCCATGTTATCAAAAAGGAATTACAGGTACTTTGGTAGGTGGGAGATAACAATGTAAAAATTCTTCTCCGACATAGATTCCTAAACTAATTTGTCCTGTCTGAATTTAAAATTTAAATTAAAAAACATTTCGAAACTGTCTGATCTTCCAATATTTTTCACTTCCTTTTTTTTTGGCTCCACATTTAAACCAATTTACAAAACTACCGGACAATACTACAATTTAACAAAATAACTACACAAATATAAACGTATATATTTTAACAAAAATATATTATATAACACATGTTGCCAACTTACTTTCCAGCTGGATAGCTCACAGGACGAGGTATACGTGATTTTGTGGCTGCTGTTGCCGCAGCAGCAGCGGCATTGGCTGCCGCCTGAGCTGATGTGGGCGTTGAACCGCCACTCTTTGTTTGTTCCGCATTGGCCAATTCTTTGAGCATACTCGAATCCTTGCTAATCAGTTCCCATTGTATCTGGAGACGTTTAAAGCGATTACTTTCCGATTTACGTTTTTCCTGCTCATCACGTTGTGAGCAGCGACGTGGAGCTGCAGCAACAGTTGTTTGAGTTGTTGTGGCTGCGTTATTTTGCAAACGTAATGCGGCCGGATTTTGTGGTGCACCACCAGTTGTGGCCATTGAAATATTCGGTGAATTGGGTGGGGTTGAAAACCTTTGTCTTGCCTCTGGTGGCTGCATTTGCATTACATTGGCGGCATTCTGCTCTTGGGCCTCCTTATCGTTGAATGAGACCTTCTTTTGTTGACTCAATGCCCTCGACACCTCCTTCTTTAAGGCAGCTGCATCATATTGAATTTCTGGTTCGGAAGACTCTAATATTGCTGCAATCTCGGCATAATACTTAAGCTCATTGCGTGGCAAGGATGAGAGGAAATTCTCAGCCCGCACACGGGCATCCAGATCTTTGCGTGACAAACGTTCACTGCGCGGCTGAGGACTGGCGTAGAGTTCACAACCGGCTGGTTCTTCCTCGAAAACTTCCGCCAATTCCTCGGCAGAACCAATGTGATAATGATGGGGTGGTTCTTGCAGAGAACGTCTCTTCTCCAACTTGGCCTGTTTGCTGTCTTGCTCTATCATAGAATTACGTTTATTTCTCACCGCCGAAGAGCTCTTGCGCAAAATGCCTCTGGGCATTGGCACGGGCGTTGATTGCACCTTTGGACTCATTTCTACACCCGAATCCATGCGTTGCTGTTCATATTGATAGACATACATTTGTTTCAGATGATTATCGCCACTACCCGAACTGGCATCGAATTCTGAATCGGTGAGCATGGTCGAAGAACCACGATAGCCCGACGAGGGTTGTTGACTAGAACCAGAACTGGACGAAGCACCAGCAGCTGTTGCCTCGGCCTGGTGGCCAGTGTTTTGTTGCTGGTCACGCTGCTGGAAGTATTGATTGCAATCGCAAATGTGGGGTCTATTGCGTCTGACGGGCGGAGTTAGACAGAACAATGGTTTCTGGGCCAATTCAGCCTCCAACTGGCTGAGAATTCCGTCAACTTGTGGAATGTGTTTTAGTCTACGCCTGTAATCACCCGGCAACAGGGTGACCAACGAATGCCAGTCTTGTATGTGCTTGTAGTCCATTGTCTTGAGTATTTCATCTTCATCACTGCCAGCCATGAGGCTGAAACGTTTCTTCAGGGAAGCACATGACGATGAGGCGCTGCCAATGGAGTTCTTGTAGTTGAAGGGTGAGAAAATGACATCCGGTGTGGCTGAGGTCTTGACGAAACCCAAATCGGGCAGAGCATAATTCGGATAGATCACATAGATGGGCGCCTGTCTCTCCTCACCCAGATTATTGAGTTTTTCCAAAAATGAAGGTGGCACACAACGGAAACGATCACTTAAGCTGCTACGTGTACTTAGACTGCCGCAGGAGGTTTGCATGGAACGGGTTATCATTTCCGAGCTGGATGCATTCGATATGGGCCGGGAGGCATCGCGACTTCGGCGCTGTTTGTTGCGCTCAGCTTTGGCAGATGATGAGGCTGATGAGGATGAGGCTTCTTGACCCGATGACAAATGGATTTGGGTCATTTGTTCCGAGGTATTATCCGATGATAGGAGACTAGCAGTGGAGTTGTTGTTGTTGCCGGAATTGTGATGTTGAGTGGCCAAGTGGTTTAGAGCGGGATTGCGCAGAGGCATGCTACGTCTGCGGTGTGCTGGTGAGTTTGTGGCCGTCAATGAACCCGTTGAACTGGAGCTGGGCTCCTCATCGTAGAACAGTGAAGAGCGGCGCTGTTGTTGTTGCTGCTGCTGTTTTTTGGGTGTAGACGATGAGGCATCCATTTGGAATGTTAAAGCCGAGGCATCGGCCACCTCCTCCTCGTCATGTCTACTAAGGGCAGATCCCTTACCCGAGTCATTCATGCTCTTCTTGCGCAAACGCTGCTCCAGCGAAGAACTTGTGCTTGAGTTGGCCGCATCACTGGATGGCCAACAGCCCGAGGACACATCCATGCAGGTGTGAGCACTTGGTTGATCTTCCAAAGAACAATTTGTGCTTTTCTGTTTGATAAACAATTTGACTAGATTGAATGCTGGCGGGTTCGAGGAACCCGACGAAGTAGAACCTGAAATGTGAGCCTTGTTCGAGTGATGCGACGTTAGGGTGGCAGAACCATTGTTACTGGCCATGGAGGTTGAGTGATGGCTGGTACCGGCACCACTGCTGTGGCTGCTGCCACCACCACAACAACACCTATGTTTATTGTGTTTCTGCTGCTGATGATGATGATGATGGTGCGAACCACTGGACTGTTGCTGCAGCTGCTGCTGCTGTTGCGCTAAATCATTTAACCGCTCATCAATGGACGCTGCTGTGGAATTGGCTGTAATGGGTATCTGGCACATGGGCAATAAATTGCGACATTTCAAATTTGCCTCCATATTGGAGGTACTGATCGCCTGTGAGACATTCAATGGTTGTTTTACTTCCAGCTGCTGCTGATGCTGTAGAGGATGTATCTGAGTTTGACTCAAAATCATTACCTCTTGACTGTCGTCACGTAAATTGGGCAAACTACTGCTCTTGCGTACACCGCTAATGGCATTGGTCAGCTGCTGTAGAGCCGGTCGACTTATGATAATGGCATCGGGAGCATTGTTATTGTTGCCCGATGGATATCTATGCGCAGGAGAAGAAAGTAAAGCATATAGACTTTAGTAGCGTCCATCCCCGAAAGAAAAAATTGCGACAACATTTACATGGTAAGTGTGTGTGGTTGTTTACGTGTTTTGGGTTGGGGGCGGGGGGAAACAATAATCATCATGTTGGTGGTTGTTTGGGGGTTTGAGATATTTTTTTCAGATGGTTGGGTTGTTGGGGTTGATTGGTAGTATAATTTTCGGTTACGAAGAGAGTGGGAAGAAAATAAGAAAAGAAAAACAAATTAGGATTAACATTTTATTATAATCGGTGTTTCAAAAGCAAAAAGTGTTTGTTGTTGTAAAATAAAGGGTGCAAAAAGGCAAACAAAATATTTTAAAATGTCAAGCCAAAATTTAGAAAATGAAATTGATTTTAGATATTCTCTAAATGCTTTCTTTTTCAATTTTTCTTTGAAATGAGGCTCCAGAAAAGGTTGAGAGCTTTTTTCTGCGATGAGGACATGTTGGGGTTAAAAATTACAAAAGAAAATATTTGATTGTAAATTTTGACAAGAGGATCTGTGGTAATCCAAATTTTCAAATTTAAAATCCCTATAAGGAACTTAGAGATTAATCAGGTATTTAACTTATTTTGTAATTTCTATTTTGAAGAAGTGTAGTCGATCTAGTCCTGGCGCTCTTGCCGAAATTTAAATGATCACTTTTTTGAAAACTAAGTAATTCTAAGCCCCTCCTCATCGAAAAAATGCAATGCCTTTAAAATGTATTCAGCAATTTACCGGACAATTTCAATTCACATTGTTTCAATTTAAAAAAAAAAATTGTCAACAACAAAAATCCTCATCTCATCCAATAAACTGTTGATGATGAAAGCAAAAACAAAAACAAAACAGCAAAATAAATACATTTAAATTAAAGACAATTGAAATGACCTCTCCGCAACAAAAAACAAGAACAACAACGTCAGTCGAAGACTGATAAAACTAAATTCATTTAAACGCTTTTTTACTTTGGCTCGTCTTTTATGATTTCGAAATATATATTCAAACGGAAATTGAGTGCATAGACGTCATGAACGTGGATGAAGGATGACTCAGAAGAAAGTCTTTGTTTTCGAAGCAATTAAAAATTGAAAAAAGAACCTGAATTCATTCAAAATGATTGAAATGAAAAACGGAAATCAACAAAATGGCAAATAATAATGAGAGATTTATTCCAAATTGGAAAGGTAGAAATCGTCATGCAGGTAGGTGGCGTAGGAGTGATATAGTCTTACTGTGTCTTGCTTGTGTGTTGATTTCTAAGCTTTTGCATCGTCTGTTCTTCTTACCTTTGCAATTGTGTTGTATGTGACTTTTGCAATTTGTTGCGCATATTACAGGGCTGTGGCTGTTCTGACCTTGACATAGAGACTTCCAGAGATTTACGCTTGACAATATCATCCAGATTGCTATGCAAATTAATGCAGTTCTGTTTGTTCTTCATGGCGATTTCATTGGGTTCTGGATGGGAGAGAAGAGGCATAAATAAAGAGGTAATGAAAATATGTCAAACAGGAAAAAAATAGAGTTCGACCGAAAGGTTCTTCTTCTTTTCTATGGCTAGAAGAGCTGCTACTCTTCTATGGCCAGAAGAGCTGCTACTCTTCTATGGCTAGAAGAGCTGCTACTCTTCTATGGCTAGGAGAGCTGCTGCTACTCTTCTATGGCTAGAAGAGCTGCTGTTACTCCTCTATGGCTAGAAGAGCTGCTGCTACTCTTCTATGGCTAGAAGAGCTGCTACTCTTCTATGGCTAGAAGAGCTGCTGCTACTCTTCTATGGCTAGAAGAGCTGCTGCTACTCTTCTATGGCTAGAAGAGCTGCTGCTACTCTTCTATGGCTAGAAGAGCTGCTGCTACTCTTCTATGGCTAGAAGAGCTGCTGCTACTCTTCTATGGCTAGAAGAGCTGCTGCTACTCTTCTATGGCTAGAAGTGCTGCTACTCTTCTATGGCTAGAAGAGCTGCTGCTACTCTTCTAGAATGGCTAGAAGAGCTGCTGCTACTCTTCTATGGCTAGAAGAGCTGCTACTCTTCTATGGCTAGAAGAGCTGCTGCTACTCTTCTATGGCTAGAAGAGCTGCTGCTACTCTTCTATGGCTAGAAGAGCTGCTGCTACTCTTCTATGGCTAGAAGAGCTGCTGCTACTCTTCTATGGCTAGAAGAGCTGCTGCTACTCTTCTATGGCTAGAAGAGCTGCTGCTACTCTTCTATGGCTAGAAGAGCTGCTGCTACTCTTCTATGGCTAGAAAAGCTGCTGCCACTCTTTTATGGCTAGAAGAGCTGCTTCTACTCTTCTATGGCTAGAAGAGCTGCTGCTACTCTTCTATAGCTAGAAGAGCTGCTACTCTTCTATGGCTAAAAGAGCTGCTACTCTTCTTGGTTAGAAGAGCTGCTAATCTTCTATAAATAGAAGAGCGTCCACTCTTCTATGAATAGAAGAGCTGCTACTCTTCTATGCCCAGAAGAGCTACTGCAACTCTTCTATGCCCAGAAGAGCTGCTGCTCTTTTGCGACCCTCTCCCCCCAGATCGAACTCTACTTTTAAATTCCATTTCATCCTACTCACCATAAAAACTTTCATCCGAATAGAGGACACTACCCTCAAACGCTATGGTATAGTTATCCTTATTTGCCTTACATGTCAGTATTATATCACCATCATCCGGATAGCCATCCATGTCGAGAGAATCCACCGATATGTGCGATTCTTTGACGGGTGAAAATAACAATTCCGATTTACAAAATGAATTATCAATCAAATCATTTGTGGATGTTGTTGATGTCTGTGACATGGTTTGAGCTGCAGCCATTTGTTGTTGCATTTGTTGTGCTGTCATATTTTGTGATGACATAAAGTGATGTTGTTGATGCTGCTGCTGTTGCTGTTGCATCAGCAGTGATTGCTGCAAACGATTACCGCCTAGACTCTTACAATACGAGGGCAATTGTGAGAGCAAGGAGTGTATGTCCTCGGCCCGAAAACTCTCCATGTCCACTTCGGCCAGATTGGCATCCAGATTCTTGGCCAAATCTTCATAGATGAGATCACCCAAACCGTTGTACGAGGCCGACAGCGAGGAGAGCACACTGCGTTGCATGCCACCACAGCCATCTCTGTAGCCGTAGTCCAAGAACCACTGGTAATCAGAATTATCATGAGTAAAATCGTGGGACGAAGCCAACGAACAAGTTAAATTGTTGCCCATATAAGCATTACCGACCCCGACACCAACACCACCACCACTACAAGCATTGTTTATACCACTACTAACGTTGTTATGCGTATAACCTACCAATTGTTGTTGGGCCTGATTGGGCAACATGTTGCTGGACGCCGACGAGTCGTAGGGCGGCAGCATGTTGTTGCTGCGCGAGCCCGGCGTTGTGGCATTGCTGTTGTAGTCCGATTCCGGTGTTATTGCCGTTGCCATATTGTTCGATAGCTGTTGATTGTTGTTACCACAGTTGAGAAAATTCAAATCTGACTCGTCATAAAATACCGAAGAACTAGCAGTGTTCGTGTTGACCTGCTCATTCAAAATAATGCTACGCAGAGCGTTGTTGTAACGATCCAAATTGCTCAGAACAATGGCCACATTTTGTTTCAAACTCTCTTCGCTGAGCTCGTCATCGGTGGCACTGGCGCTGGCGTCCTTGCCTAGCAACAATTGTTGTTGCTGCTGTTGCAAATGTTGCTGCTGCGAGAGTAGATCATTCAAATGTTGCTGATACTGGGTGTGCGTTAGGAAGGGCAATTTACGGCGCTGTTGCAAGAGATGTTGCTGGCCACAGGTGATGCCGCCGGTAAAGGGTGAATTTTGTGGTGAATTAAATGGCTTGCGGTAATGCGTGGGGGAATGTGTTACTGATGAGCCGTTCGATGAGGGTGAGCGAAGCACGTCATTAAATTTATTGTTGATATTTGCAGAAGAATTTATCGTCGTCGTCGTCACGTTCGTTGCGTTTGTCGCTGATGGGGTGGTGGTGATTTGATTATTTTTACAGTTATTGATGAGCTGTTGTTTTAATGTTTGTGTGAATTGTTTGTTAAATTGTGCATTGAATGTGGTGTTGTGTGTGTTATTTGGATGATGATGTTGTTGCTGTGGTGTGGTGAAATTAGTTGTATGATTGTTGGCTAGATAATGATGATGGCGTGGTGAATTTTGAAGCGGCTGAGATGATAGATGATGAGATTTATTGTTGATGTCGTTGTTTGTGGAGAATTCTGTCATGCCACGATTGGATTTTTGTCCTGTAAATAAAAAAAAGAAAAGAATCGAAATGAGTTGAATGTAAATTGTCTGCTAATAAAAGTGGAAATATTGAAGGCAAAATATAGGTAAAAAGAATTATTATCCATTAATTAATATTTTCAGGAATACACTTATTTCTAATATTTATAATTTAGATTTATGTTAGAAATTTAAACATTATTAACGTAAATTCAAAATTTAATTACAAGGAGTTCAGGAAAATATTGAAAATGTTACTGCAACATTAAAACAATTTGCTCCAATATTGAAAAGCATTGTTGGAACATTATACACGTTGACTCCCCTCAAAGTATCTAAGTTAGAGAGGAGACATTGTTAAGGATTTATTTTATTTATTTATTTTTTTTTTTTAAGAGCAACCTTCTCTTGAAATAAATGTTGAATAAAAATTGGAAAAAAGGTTGACGCAACATTTAAGAAATTTTGTGTTGACCCAATATATCAAATGTATACTTAACATTTTAAAATGTAGCTTCAAAAAAATGTTATGTTATAATATATTGTTTCAACATCATGAGGTGATGAAGAAATTTAGATTTTAAGAAAGTTCTTCATTGTTCGAAAAAGTTTGAAATTATTTTCATTATAAGAGACAAGAAGCATTGTGTTTGACAGACAGAAATATGGACTTAACATTTTCTAAATGCAACTTCAACGCAAGAAAATGTTGAGTCAACATTCGAAAACGGACTCAACATTCGAAAATGTTGCTCAACATTACGAAATATTTTTCAACATTAGGAACACCGTTATAAACATTGGGAAATATTACTTCAATGTATATTTAAAAAAAAATGTTCTTCGTTGCCTGAAATACTTAATAACACTTAATAACAAGAGACAGAAAAGCATAATTTTCCGAGCATTAGCCTCCCAATAGCCACAAATAAAGATTTAACATTAGCAAGTGTAGCTGCAATATAAATGTTGACTCAACATTCCAAAATGTTGTTTCAACATTACGAAATGTTTCGCTAGGAATAATTTTTTAAAATTAGGAAATGCGTAATAAATATTGGGAGATGTTGCTTCAACAATCCAAAATGTTGTTTCAACATTACGAAATGTTGCTACAACATTCCAAAATGTTTCGCAAGGAAATATTTTGTTTTTAAATTATGAAATGCGTGAAAAATATTGCTTCAACAATCCAGAAAGTTGCTTCAACATTACGAAATGTTGCTTCAACATTCCAAAATGTTGCTTCAACAATACGAAATGTTTCGTTAGGAAATATTTTTTTAAAATTAGGAAATGCGTGATAAATATTGGGAAATGTTGCTTCAACATTACAAAATGTTGCTTCCACATTTTAAAATGTTACTTCAATATTCCAAAATGTTTCGCAAGGAAATATTTTTTTTAAATTATGAAATGCGTGATAAATATTGGGAAATGTTGCTTCAACATTTTAAAATGTTGATTCAACGTTACGAAATGTTTCGCTAGGAAATATTTTTTAAAATTATGAAATGCGTGATAAATATTGGGAAATGTTGCTTCAACATTACGAAATGTTGCTTCAACATTTCAAAATATTGCTTCAACATTAAGAAATGTAGATTGTGAAAAAGGACGATGTCTAAAATAGGTTAATATTGACAAGCGACAAGGATCATAATTTTCAGATTTTCCTGGCTTTTGCTTGAAAGAAATGTAGAATTAAGATTTCAAAGTGTAGCTGCAAATAAAAGGAAATGTAGACTCAACATTCGATAATGTTGCTTCAACTTTACTAAATATTTTACTACGAAAAATGTTTTAAAATTAGCAAACGCGTCATAAACATTAGAAAATTTTACATTATAAACTGTTGCAACAGCATTTTGCAATGTAGATTGTGAAAAAGTTCTTCGATGGCTGAAAGAAGAATCATCTTTTTCAGGTTTAGCAGGAAAGAAATGATGACTCAAAACCCAACCGTAGAATCATCAAGATTTCCAAGTGTAGCTGCAAATAAAAGAAAATGTTGACTCAACATTGCGAATTGGTTTGTTATTTAATGTTGCCTCAACATAACGAAATGTTGCGAAGAAATTGAAAAATGTTGATTGAATATTAGCAAATGTTGAATGAATGTTAGAATGTTCTTTTTTGATTGAAATATTGAGATTCTCACAAAAGACACAAGCGAATAAATGTCTGAGTAATGTGGGCTGGGCATTTCAATTATAAAGACCGAATTCGTATTTACTTCAATATCAAAATATTATTATTATTATTAAGACAATATATGTACACTTTTCTTAACTTATTCACCACAAAGAAATGAAAATAAATTTTTATATATTTTTTTAAATTTCACTTACAAAAAAAAAAAAAACAAGAAGAAGAAAAAAAACACCGAATAGGAATCAAAGAAAAATCACCAAGAAATATTATATATTTAAAGTGCAATGATCACCCGCTACAGATAAACGACCACATGTAGATGAGGAAAAACGCCTTTTGAAATAAGAAAACTAAGAAAAAAGAGAGAAGAATGATCACCACATACATTATCGAATAAAGGGCAGCGGTGGTGGAGACTCTGAGACGACACAACGTACTATTGTCATTTAGAAGTAGAAGAAGAGGAGGAGGATAAGGGGAAAACATGTACAATGACACACTTGAGTCTGTAAATAAATAAGAAGAAAATACTATAATGCCGCCATGCATCATGGGCGTGAAGAAAAAAAGAAGAGCCATAAAAATATTGCCCACAAAGAAAGAAGATAAAATTTTATGGACCACTACTAGTACTAGCTGTCCCCTCCTCCTCCCTGCCCACAATGAATGAATATGTGTAGATGGAATGATTGAATGAATGAATTCCACTCTTACAACAAATGATGACAAATTTTTTTTATTGGCTCGAAGACACTATTCTTGTATTTTTTACAGCTTTGTTAAAAGCATGAGAAATTTACAAAAAAAAAAAAAAAAAATTAAATACAGTCTACAGAAAATCTATGTGCCCCATCGGGCAGTAAAATATTTTGTTGCAAAGTCGTTAACATATGATATCTTTCATAGGCTATTAATGATAATATGCCCCATTATAACATTTAATTATCTAATACTTATGTTGACAGATCAACCCAGGAGGACATATTTTTAAAGAGGGATGATGGGGGGCCTTAGATAAGACAACACTTTTTTTAAATAGGATTTTTAAAACGAAAACTCAAAATAAAAATATTTGGAAATTTAAAAAGGCTGCAGCAAAAAAAATTTGTTAAAAAAAATAAACAAAAAAAAAAAAATTTAAAACTTACAATTTTTTCAGTATTTCATCAAATGACGACGAAAATTTAGTCTTTGGTCTAGAAAATCGAATTCCTAATCACTGAAGGACGTTGGATTTTGAGATGTTGAAAATCACTATTAATTACAAAAACAAGCAAAACTGTTCCAATTTTTTTCTTTTCTTTCAACCCCAAACTGATTCTCATTCCCATTGAAAAGAAAAACAAGTTAAGGGGTATCAGTAGGTTTTCCCGACGGATGTATACCCTCAGCCAATCTTCGATTATTTAAATATATTTTAACTTCTGTTATGATTATTCAAAATGTTGACCCTCTATGGAGTAGGTTCTGAAAGAATGGGTTAATATTGTCTATTTCGTAAAGGACCTAAATAAATATGATTAAAATATTACGACGTGCCAGGAAAAATTAGAAGATAATCGAACAGTTATATCCAATTTTATGCGAAATTAGAAATTCCATATTCATCTCAGATTTTCGCTTGAGAGAAATATTCAGATATAGCAAGTTGCAAAGAATCGCTGACTTATTTCGCAAGTTACGACAGATAAAAATATTGAATATTGTGACCCTTTGTGAAGGGATCATCTTCACAACAGATCTTGTGTTAGCAAAAATGTTTGTAAGTGTGAAATTTGAAGAGAGTTGGATGCTTATTTGAAAAATCTAAATCTTGAACCCCATGTGGGGAAGGTACCAGAAGTAATGGTCCAATCTCTACTATCTTTATAACATATCTTGTGTTGATGGATCGGATCGGATGTTTGCGTTTTATGAGCTTCAAGGATATTCAAAATTTTGACCCTTTGCGTGGGAGGTACCATCATCACAGCAGACCTTGGATTAATAAAAATATTGTGGTGTGTGTAATTTGAGAACCGGACGCTTATTTCGGATTTTAAAATCGTTTTGGATAATCAAAACTTTGACCCTTTGTGGGGGAGGTAGCAGAAGAAATGGTCCAATCTCTACCATTTTTATAACAGATCTTGTGTTGATAGAAATATTGAGATGTTCCAAGTCTGAATGGAATCGGATGGTTACTCTGCGTTTTATGAGCTTCAAGGGTATTCAAAATGTTGACCCTTTGTGGGGGAGGTACCAGAAGGAATGGACCAATATATCCCATCTATACAGCAGATCTTGTGCTAGTAGAAATATTTCAATGTGTGAAATATGAAGAGAATCGGATGTTTACTTCGGACTTTATAATAGCGTTGGTTATTAAAACCTTGACCCTTTGTGGGGGAGGTGCCAGAAGTAATGGTCCGATCTCTACCATCTTTATAACAGATCTTGTGTTGATGGAAATATTGAGATGTGCCAAGTCTGGAGTGCAATCCCCCCTTTATGGGGGATGCACCAGAAGGAGTGGATCGATATATTCAATCTTCAGACCAGACATTGGATTAAAAAAATATTGTGATCTTCGTGATTTGGAGACAATCGGACTTTTATTTCGGATTTTTTAATAGTTTTGGATAATCAAAACTTTGACCCTTTGTGGGGGAGGTGCCAGAAGGAGTGAACCTATATATTCCATCTTGACACTAGACCGTGGGTTAATAAAAATATAGTGATCTGTGTGATTTGGAGACAATCGTGATTTGGACACCTGGCCTTGCACTGAAGCAAATATTAGGATTGGCAAAGTTGGAGCAAAATCCGATTCTCTTTCTGTGCAGTAAAACTTTTTTTTTTTTTTTTTGAAAATTTTGAGATACCA